CACTCTGCTCCTGGCAACACCGCTACGACTCTTCTGTCCAGAAAAACTACGACTGCTTTAGGCGGAGACAGCAGATTGCACACCAGCATCTCACTTTTCTCCCTCCTGACGCTTCACTAAAACTACAAGAAAGGGAGTTTTGTAAAAAGTCGTAGACTCCTAATGATATGGAGAATAAAAGAGGAGACAACAGCAATGAAATTCTGAAAGCTGGAGGGTAGATGGGCAGTGGTGACTGAGCACAGCCAAGAAAGCTGAGTTCCCAAGCCAGCAGTAGGGAGAGCTCAAAAGCCTGGGGGAAACAGTAGAAAGTGAGATCCCGGGGCGACTGGGTGACTCAGTCAGTGAAGCAATTAAGCCTCTGCCTCTTGATTTCCGCTCAAGGTCATGATCACGGGATCGTGAGACCGAGCAAGAAGTTGGACTCCATGCTGGGCGTGGAGCCTGCTTAACATTCTCTCTCTGCCCTCTCAAAAAAAAAAAAAAAATACTGGAAGGAGATAACAATGGAGCAACAACTTCAAAATTCTGAAGGCAAATTATTTTCAACTGAAATTCTATTACCAGAAAAAGTATCCGTGAAGCATGAGTACAGGATCAAAACATATTCAGGAAGGCAAGAGCTCCAAAAACATAACCCTTCATGTCAAGAAGCTACTAGAGTTTGAGCACCACTAGAGAGAATAAATCAATAAAAGAGAATACAGGACACGAACTTCCAATTATAAAATAAATAAGCTGGGAAATGACAAGTACAGCATAGGGAATAGAGTTGAGGATATATTGGATGGTGACGGATGGTAGCTACACTTACTGCGGCTAGCACCGAGTAACACACAGGATTGTCAGACCACTGTGTCGTGCACCTGAAACTAATGTAACCTTATACATCATACTCCAATAATAAAAATATTTCTTAAAAGGGAGAGAATCCGGGATACAGGAAAGATCTGACACAGGAGGACTAAAGAGAAACCAGCTGTGCCCCAGACAAGGAGGATAACCAGGCCAGACTAAAGTAGTGTAACTCGAGACAGACATGTCCCAGCTGCTGTACCAGCTCTTTAACCCGACGAGTGAATGCCCCGAAACCTGGCCCAGATTCCTAACTGGGCTCAGCCGGGCTTGGCTTGATCTTGATCATATGGTGATACTGTTCTGCTCTCCTTCCAAGCCCAGCAGCTGCACCAGCAGAGGACACTCACTTCCCTCACAGAAAGGTTCTGCTATGACCTACCCTGGTAACTGCAGGCAGGCCACGTGAGCTCAAAAAGCAGAAAACACAGAGCAGCTCACTCTCTCATTTCTGCTGTCCTTCCAGTACGGACAGACCTAGGAGATATTATCGATTCGGTTACAGACCACAGCAATAAGGTGAAATCCTCGCAAAATGAGTCAAATGAATTTTTGTGTTTCCCAAGTGCTTAGGAAAGCCATGCTTACACGGTACTGTGATCTGTTAAGGGTGCAACAGCACTACATCTAAGAAAACACTGTACATACTTTGATTTAAAACTACTTCATTGCTAAAAGTGGGAAGCATCATCTGAGTTTTCAGCAAGTCATACAGATCACAATAACAAATATAGCAATAAACAAGTCTGAAATACCGCACGAATTACCAAAATGTGATACAGAGACATGAAGTGAGCAAATGCTGTTGGAAAAATGGTGCCAACAGGCTTGCTCTACGCAGGGCTGCCACAAACCTTCACTTCACTAAAAAATAAGCAAATAAATAAGGCGGTATCTGCGAGGCACAATAAAATAAGGTGTGCCTGTATGTGATCCATACTAGAGCCTTCCAGAAGCCCTCACTGTGGTGAACCCCACTTCCTAAGACTCATTCATAACACTACCCACTAGCTTCCTCAGAAAGGCCTCCTGTAAACAGACAGGGAAGCTGAAGCCATTCTATTCTGTTTGTCTTTTTCTGGAAACCTTCATCTAATAGTGACAATAACGGGCTTTCCTTACATGGTCAGGTCTGGGCTTACAATTACGAAACAAAATTTGAACCTCAAATTTAGAAAGCTCCAGTATTTTCTAATAAGCCTGTTTGGAATTCATCTGCACTGGGGGAAATAATTAATAATTAATTAATTATACTAACTAAATTAATAACTAATTAATTTAATGAAAAACCTATTGTTAATATAGTTTATAGTCCTGTAAGGTTTGAGTTTAACTGGAGAAATTAATAAGGTGTTACAATTTTTCCAGCCTGGTAGAAAAGAGTAATCCCAAAGACATGATGATTTTGTTGCTGTGTGGAACTTTAACCAATTATATCTCGGCAATTTTATTCAGACATTTCTTTCCTTGTGGACTACATATACTCCTTAAATTCTCTGAAAACCAGCTTGTCGTGGCACTCTCTATAACAGTTAAATAAAACTTTGAAACATGCTCATTATCTATTTGCATGAGATTTTAACACTATTCATTCAAAACCAAATATATTGTTTAGGACGGGTATGTGTGTATGTGTAGGCTGTGTGTAGTGTAAGTGTCAATATATATGTATATGTGTATATCTGTGTATATATGCGTAAAGTTTATTTTAAAAAGCAGGAAAAAGACTAACAGATCAGAATAGAGGCTACCTCTGGAAGAAAGATGCAGATGTTTTCTTAATCTGATGATAGATACAATGATCACAGCAATCATATTCTTTAAACACATATATATCACATGTGTATATATAAAAATCACATATTATCATATATATACGGATATATGTGTGTGTGTACGCAAACATAAACACACACACATGTATGCATACATACACATACACACACACGTTTGTATGTTCTACACACTTTTTTTTTGCCCTGGGATACATTTCACAATAAAAGAAACATTAAAAAAAAAAAGAGAACAAGAATTTGTTATGACTGGATATTCAAGGTGCTTACCACAGGACAAAGTACGCAAAATATGTCTGTTCACAAATCTCTTCCTGAAGGCCTTCTCTATTTATTCCTGCCAAGCCAATCAAAGGAATGAATATAACCTTAAAGTCAACACCACTAAGTGGAAACAAGGTTTAAAAATTTGCCATTTTTTAACCAGGTCCTCAAAATTTTCTTGATCCAGTCTCTAAATATAAAAGGACACTCAGATTCTAAGAAATGCACTTAAAACCAACAAATTTAGCTACCACCTTTAAATCATAAAATCTTTTAAATTATAAAAACGATTCCTTGTGGAAAGGGCACTCACATTATACTGAAGTACAATAATCTGTTTAAATTATCTACCTGGAACTTATCCTACAATGGCAAAAAGAATTTCTTGCAACAAGGCTTTTAACAGCTAAAATCCAGAAACATCCAAAATGTCCATCAGTACAAGGCCAATAAAATATATTAGAGTACATCTGAACAATGGCATAGTACAAAGCATTTAAAAAATGAGGTAAGTCCGCACATACATATACGGGTATGTGTCCTGGTATCACTATAAGTCACTTGCCCTACAGTTATGGGATGATCTCTTCCTAGGGATGGGAACTGAAGATATAAAGGATGAAAAGTGAACAACAATTCCCACTTTTTCCTTGATACACTTTTGTGCTGTTTGAACTTTTCACTTGATATTCTTCTGTAATGTTAAAAAAAATTTTTTTTACAACCTAGGTATGTCATTGTTATCACTTAAAAGTAGCAAATAAGGATAAACTAATCAGATAAATGCTCTACCTTGGACTCCATAGTGAATTCATTAAAGACTGGCCAGTTAAGGCTGCGGCAAGGCTAGTGGGCAGAGGATGGGGGTGGGGGCGTGTCTCCGGAAGAGGAAAACGACATCCTCCCGCGGCTCTCAGTAAACCTGCTTTTCCTGCAGCATCAGTACTCAAGATAACTTTTGATTTTCATTTTAAGAGCGAAGAGTCTGGCAACACTATTATCGGTTAAAAAAAAAAAAATTTAACGTGTGCTCTACGTTTGAAACCTGAGACACGAGGGGCCAGATAAGGGACTAAAGATGATGGGGAAAAGAAGTGTGACAAGTCCAGGAGTAAGAGCCCCGGGAATTGTTAAGAAAAGGGATCCACGGTACAGGTAGACGAAGAGTTTGAGGGAAGAGGTGGGACACTCCGAGAAGAGAAATTGTCTTCGAGAGGCATCACGGCGATTAGACATTTACTCCAATCAGAGGCTTGACTCCTGCCCACCCCCACACACACAGACAGACAGACACACACATACACACGCACACGTTCACCGGGCACTAACAGCAAAGGGATGGAGCACAGTCGATCTCATCACTGATATGGATTTTAAAAGGTCGTATCTGTGATGAAGCACCTTCCAGTGACTAACTCGGAACCCAATTCACTGGTTAAAACCCGGAATGGTTTCCCCAGCTCAACTACCACTGCCACAGTAGCAATTCTCTGCTGCCGCTTACCTCAAAGGGCACTCCACACTTTATGATGAATTGTCGAAAGAATGCGGAGCCGCTAGCATTTCCTCCTCCCACCTCTGTACCTGACTCTCCCAAGGCCAGAGTCGGGGAAGTCCACGGACACGGACAATATTCCCAACAATGGTTCGGAGCAAACGAGAGGGGCGACGAAGGTCGAGTCGTCCCCAGACTCCCCGTGAGAGCCGTCCACCGCCTCTGTCCACTGCCCGCCGCGCTGGGCGGCCGAGAGGCTCGAGATGGGAACCTTCCGGACCTCCCAGACCCGCAGTGGACGGCCAGGTACCGCGGCCGTGCGGCCCGCCCGGGTCGAGAGCGGATCCCCGGGCGTCACGGCCCCCGTCGGCTCGAGGGGACGCGGGCTGGGCCGGGGCGAGCGGCGGAGGTCTCGGGTCCGCAGGCTGCCCCCGCGCTCCGCGGGCCCGTTCCGGCGGGCGGCGCCGGGCGCGGGAGAGGCCGGGCTGGGCGCCGCCGCACCGCGCAGGCCGGGCCAGCCGGGGGCGCCTCTCCACGCGCGGACGGCGGGCGCGAGCCCCCCGCGCGCCGCGAGACCGACCGACCGCACTCACCTGGCCTTCCCGACACCCACGCCGACCCCGAGCGCGCGCGCAGAATAGGTGGCGGCTGCACCGCGTCCCGGCCGGCGTCCTCCGCTCCGCCTCAGTCCCGGGGAGCCGGGAGCGGACGGCGGGCGCTAGGCTAGGGGCGCCGGCGGGGTGCGGCGCCGTGCGCACGGCAGCGACCAATCGGCACGCAGCAAGTGGCCGAGGGGGCGGGGCGGGGCGCCAGGGGGCGGGGCGAGGGTACCGCGACTCTGCGGCTCCGGGAGCTGTGGGCTGACTCTGCGCATTAGGGTTCGCGGCAGCGTAGACCTGACCCAGCAATGGCTCGGAGCAAACGAGAGGGGCCACGAAGGACGAGTCGTCCCCAGACTCCCCGTGCGAGCCGTCCACCGCCTCTGTCCCCTGCCCGCCGCGTTGGACGGCCGAGAGGCTCGAAATGGGAACCTTCCGGACCTCCCAGACCCGCAATGGACGGCCAGGTAGTGCTGTCTTCCAGACGGCGTGGGGGCCGGGTTCCCACCGCTGCGTTTCTGCTAGCGGACTTCGACTGCAGCATCGGTGAGATCACGAGCGCGGGGAGCCCAAGACCCACAGGGCACGGACTCTGCCATAGGCCCCGCCGTGTTGCACGTGCTCCCGAAAAGGGCGTCTCAGGAACTGAAGGTCTGTAGGGATGCCCTTTTCCTAATCCCCACCACTCAGAAATGGAAGCCTGGAAAAGTGAAGTTTTACACCCAAGGCTGCCAACTAGTACCCGAGGTAACCAGCACTGTACAACTCGTCTTCTAATTCTGCCTGATGTTTTTCCAGGGATCCACCCAGACTTTTGGCTTCCTTATAGTTAGGTCTCTTCCAACTGTCTCCTTTCTTTTTTCTTTCTTCTTCTTCTTTTTTTTTTTTTTTAATTTAAATTCAATTAGCCAACACCAGCTGCCTCCTCTGAAGACACTACATTTTGTGGGGCCTGGTTAGTTCTTTCCGTAGAGCATGCGACTATTGGAGTCGTGAGTTCAAACCCCACCTTGGGTGTAGAACTTAATAAGCAAAAAATAAATAAAAATAAACACACTGCATCTTGAATTTTCAGCATAGCTTCACCAGCTTTTGAAAGGCCCATCTAAATTTCCTACAGAATCTAAAACGCCATTTAATTGTTTGGAGGAAACGACACTGTGAATACAGTTATTAAGGGTCGTGGGATCAAATCCTGCGTGGGGCTCCTTGCTTGGCAGGGAGCCTGCTTCTCTCTCTGCCTCTGCCTGCTTGTGCGTGCTCTCTATTTCTCTGACAAATAAATAAATAAATAAATAAAATCTTATAAAAGAAAAGAATGGGAATCTTATAAAGTGTTTTATTTGTGGTAGGATGATAAAAAAGGTTTTGTGTCCCAACTTATAACAAAATGCCATCCTCTTCTATTCCTTTACTCCTATAGATTTTATGCATGTGAGAGGAGCAATCCCTGCTTTGTGTTTTTTTCCCACTAACCCCCACTTCACATATTCATGGATACTATTTTTCTATCTTATATATTTGTCACTTGGCAAGTAATGCATTTACAGTTACATTATCCATTATTCTGATATATGTGCTAGGATCTAGTGCTCAATAAATATTTGTTGAATAATTTACTTTTGAAATATGTGCAACCTTAAAACTAGTCAAATCATATAAAACTTATTAACTTATGAAAGTTGATTTTTTTTTAAAATAAGATTTTAGATCTTGCTTATTTTTTTCATTATTGTGTTAGGAGTAGGTTTGCCTGCAAAGCATGGGAGGGGGGGACACAAAATAATAATGGCCTAGACAAAAATCGGTATTTCCCTCTTACATTTAAAAAGTCTGGAGTTAGTGTACAGATGGTCTGACACTCCATGGAGACAGATTCACCTTCATTATTCCACCAAGAGAGTCCCACATGTATTTATTTATGCTTTCAAATATATAGGCATTTGGAAGATACCCAGTTCCTTTCCCAGTATCACCTCAGGATATAATAGAGCTGCCATAGCTCCAGCCACTATGCTTACATTCCAAACATCAGAAGAGAAGACAGCTGGCAGAAGAGAAGAAGGAAATACCCCCCCTCTTTAAAAACCTTTCCCAAAAGCTACATATACATATCATTTCTGCTTTTATCCTGCTGGCAAAAAAAAAAAAAAAAAATCAGTCACTTAGCTACACTAAATGTCAAGGAAGCCTAGAAAACAGGGCTTCACTACCGAGAAAGAATGGATATGGGGGACAGGTAGGAGTTTCTATCATAGCCTCAAACTCATCACTTTTTTTTAAAGCTTTTTTTTTTTTTTTAAGATTTTATTTATTTATTTGACAGAGATAGATCACAAGTAGGCAGAGAGGCAGGCAGAGAGAGAGAGAGGGAAGCAGGCTCCCCGCTGAGCAGAGAGCCCGATGTGGGACTCGATCCCAGGACCCTGAGATCATGACCTGAGCTGAAGGCAGCGGCTCAACCCACTGAGCCACCCAGGTGCCCAAACTCATCACTTTTTAAAGTATTAAGTATCTTAAGATTTCCTAAGATTTTTTAAAGCAAGTTTTTTAACAGAAGAATATCTGTAAGAAAATGCTTACCTCCATGTTTGAAGGAAGGTGTTACTATTAACCTGCCCCGAGGATGTACGCTTTCAGTTGCTTTTCCGGAAATGAGTGCAGACTCACATTAATGCAGTTAGCTTCTCCCTGATGCTTTAAGCCTCTACCCTACAGAGACTCATATATATTTTTTTCAAAAATATGGGCATTTGAAATGTACTGGGATTTCAAATGTACTGATTTGAGTCTTTAGTAAAATTGCAAATCAGTTTAAACAAAACTTCACACCTGCCCTTATTCAATTGGTATTCTGTCATGTAGCTACCTAAGCATATGTTTGCTTAAATTCCTATTTCCTGAGAACCTCAGAGAGGCCCTTCTAGAATCTGCAGTCTTTGTGACTTCAGGACCTTTTCAGGCTTGGGCCAGAATGGTTCTAAAAGACTTGCCTCACTGAAAACTAGACAGGGAGGATCCAGAACCGCCAGTTCAAATCTAGTAAGAGAGAGGAAGAATCCAAGCTGTCCTTCACCCTAGGTCCCATGGGTTCTGGTTTGTTCTTATTTTCTCAAGGCTGCTTCGAGCGAACGTACTCTAAGGCAGTGGTATTCACTTCCCACCCAGTGTGTAATGCAGAAATGAAAGACTAAAACATAAGGTGTAAACATGTACTCCTGGGGGCACCTGGGTGGCTCAGTGGGTTAAGCCTCAGGTCATGATCTCAGGGTCCTGGGATTGAACCCCACACCAGGCTCTCTGCTCAGTGGGGAGTCTGCTTTCCCCTCTCTCTCTGCCTGCCTCTCTGCCTACCTGTGATCTCTGTCAAATGAATAAATAAAATATTTATTTATTCATTTGATGAATAAATTTGATTTATTTGATGTCTCCTCCTCCATAAACTTAGGGGGTTTTGTAACAAAAGATTTCACATAAGTCAGTAGAACTGTTATATTTGGATAAAGGAATCTTGAGACTAAGATCACATTCCCGTGGATCTGAAATGACCCTCCCCCGAAAGGATGGATATTCAGTGTCATTCATTTGGGAAAAAAACTGGGTCTTTAGATGAGAAATGATACCGAAGCTTGGAGGATCGTATGACACAGGAGAAGGAGGAGACATCTCTTTCTGCAGTCTAGATAGCAGAAAGTCACAGTGAATACATTTATGAGGGGGCGCCTTCAGTTGCGAGTAACAGGAAAAATAATTCGAACTGGCTTTTTAGAATAGTAAAAATATCGGGCTTCCTGGGTGGCTCAGTGGGTTAAGCCTCTGCCTTCGGCTCAGGTCATGATCTCAGGGTCCTGGGATTGAGCCCCGAATCAGGCTCTCTGCTCAGCAGGGATCCTGCTTCCCCCTCTCTTTCTGCCTGCCTCTCTGCCTACTTGTGATCTCTCTATATATCAAATAAATTTTTTTAAAAACCCTTTAGAATAATAAAAAAAATGTAATTTAATTTTAAAAACCTGGGGTTTTTTTTTTAAGATTTTATTTATTTACTTGAGAGGGAGAAAGAGAGAGAGAGTGAGCACCAGCAGGGGAAGGGGCAGAGGAAATAGAGTCTCTCGCTGAGCTGGGAACCCCCACACAGGGCTCCCTAATCAGGAGTCAGACGCTTAACCAACTGAGCTACCCAGTCACCCAATAAACTCTAGGGCTTTTTTTTTTTTTTTTAAGATTTATTTATGTGAGGGGTGCCTGGGTGGCTCAGTGAGTTATGTGGCTGCCTTTGGCTCAGGTCATGATCTCAGGGCTCTGGGATCAAGCCCCACAAGGGACTCCCTGCTCAGCTGAACGCCTGCTTCTCCCTCTCCTTCTACCTTCCTCTCTGTCTACTTGTGCTCTCTCTTGATCTCTCTGTCAAATAAATAAATAAAAATCTTTAAAAAAAAAAAAGATTTATTTATCTGAAAGACAGAGAGAGAGCACCTGGTGGGGAGAAGGAAAGGGAGGGGGAGAGAGGGAATCCAGCAGACCCCTGCTGAGGTACGGAGCCCCACACAGGGCTCCATCCCACAACCCTAAGATAATGATCTGAGCCAAAATCAAGAGTTGTACGCTTAACCGACAGCCACCCAGGTGCCCCAAAACCCTAGTTTTAAAACCAAAAAAAAGAAAAAATTGGAGACATAATCCCAGTAGAAATAGAAACACATATGGAGAAAATGAGAAGTATGATACTCTCACAAACAAGTCCGGCTGTTTTATAAGTGTCATGTTAAAATAATCACCTGTGGGGCGCCTGGGTGGGAGCTAGTTAAGTGTCTGACTCTGGATCTTAGTTCAGGTTTTGATCTCAGGGTTGTGAGTTCAAGCCTGCCCTGAGCTCCCCTGCTAGCATGGAGCTTTAAAAAAAAAAAAAAAAAGTGAATAGAAAAAATAAAAATAAGGTAATCACCTATGTTATGATCCAGGAAAAAGTGACGGTGAAATACAGCAAGTACTCCATGTCAAGGATTTCTTCAGACACCAATGTTTAAAAATTTGATATGAAGATAAATTCTTTTTTTTTTAAGATTTTATTTACTAATTTGACAGAGAGAAAGAGAGC